GGGAAGAGGGCCCAATGCAATGCGTGCTCGGCTCCGCTCGGAAGTCCACTGCCATGCACAGGTTGCCTCTGTCCACACTGTTTTCCTTCTCTGATCATTGCAAAATTCCCAAGGTGCACTCTATGAACCCTGTGGGATACCACCGGCCAAGGGAAATGGTCACCGGCCAAAGTAAATGATCACCGGCCACTGGTTAAGCTATCGGCCACCAATTGTTGATCGGTCGGCACTAAAGATGGTCGGCCGGCCAAATATTCGTGCAGAATCCTGTTTTAACAGCAGCAGAGGGCAAAACAAGGCAGGGCAATGCATTCCAAGAAAATGTGTGCACCAACACATCCCTTATCATGTTTATGACTCAAAGGGACATGGTTCTCGGTTCTCAGACCACTAATCGCGCATTTCGATGCGTGATGGCCCAAGAAACCAAGTTATGCACTTTGATTTCAAATGAAATGCACATAAACAAGCAAGGAGCTCAACCTCTATCATACTCAATTCAAGAGGCTAAGCATGCATGTCAATGCAATGCAACCTAGGCATATGAGCTAGTATGCAACATGAACAATGCGAACAAGCATTCAAGGCATGTGACAATCATGCTAACCAATAAGTATGCCCAATACAATGGGGATGTTCAAGCATGCAAGCAAGCATGTGACTTCATTTAATCATGCTACAACACATGGAGCAAACATGTTAAACAACCTAAACATGTGACAACACACAAGTATGCAGCAACACACAAGATGAGCATGCAGCAACATGCGAACTATGGACTTAAACTAATTTGGGTAGCTCTATACCAAGCCCAAAACAGTAGCCAACATGCTCAAGAATGAAGGCAAAATGACATGCAAACATGCGTGCACACAAGGACCAACACTTAGGCATATAGAAACAACTCTCAAGCACACTTAAGAGGATGCAAACATGGACAAATGACATGCATTATAAGCTCTGAAAATGATGTTAGAGAAGGTGCCAAACCAATCTACAATGCAAGCTAGGCATGCCACCAAGCCCAAGGACTTAAACCATGGCCATATGACATATGAAGCAAATGACCAAAATGAACTAAAATAGTCCTAAATCATGCAAAAGTAAGCCCCAAAAACCACTTAGATGGCATCTAAATGATCTAATACACAATGGCACAAACATGGAGCAAGAAACACCAACCTTTTAAAGCATGAAAGGGGCATCAAATGCAAGCATATGGGCATACCATGAAGACTGAAATGACATGACAAGTGGTTCCAAACCACTGAAATGATGCAAGGATGGCATGCTAGAGGGGTCAATGCTTAAGGCATACAAGAGAGGTTACATGGTAGCTATACAAAGCAAAGCATGAACAACCCAAATGACCAAAAACAGATCTTTAGCATGCTAAAAGAAGCATAAAAGCTTCACAAAGCCAACCCAAATGACCAAAAATAGACCTTTAGCATGCTAAAACAAGCATAAAAGCTTCACAAAGCTAAGCCAAAAGCATGCTAGAAACAAGGCTCAAAGCACAAGGCATGTTAAGGCAATTCATGGCATTACAAGACATGTATGCTAAGCAAGCATGATGTGTCTAAACCAAGTAAAAATAGTACTATATTATGGCATAATAAGCATAAAAAACAATTAAGGCATAGCCAACATACACTTAAACAAGGTGCTCACTATTGAGGCATTATTGAAGACAACAAGGAGAGGTGGTGGCCCTCTCCTTCTTAGGCACTACTACAAAAACAGATAAAGATCACACTTTTTTTGTGTGATGTATGTTATTTAATCATATCTTTTAAGTTTTATTAAAGTTTGATCTTTAGGAGTGTGATTAAAATGAGTCATTTTTAATCACACTTTTTAAGCGTGCTTAATAACATTTATATCACACCTTTTAAATGTGATTAAAAACATTTAGATCACACCTTTTAAGTGTGATCTTTGGCAGTGTGATTAAAAATGATCATTTTTAATCACACTTTTTAAGTGTGATTAATAACATTTAGATTACACATTTTAAGTGTGATTAAAAATGATCATTTTTAATCACACTTTTTAAGTGTGATTAATAACATTTAGATCACACATACGAGCATATCATGAGGACTGAAATGACATGACAAGTGGTTCCAAACCACTGAAATGATGCAAGGATGGCATGCTAGAGGGGTCAATGCTTATGGCATACAAGAGAGGTTACATGGTAGCTATACAAAGCAAAGCATGAACAACCCAAATGACCAAAAACAGATCTTTAGCATGCTAAAAGAAGCATAAAAGCTTCACAAAGCCAACCCAAATGACCAAAAATAGACCTTTAGCATGCTAAAACAAGCATAAAAACATCACAAAGCTAAGCCAAAAACATGCTAGAAACAAGGCTCAAAGCATAAGGCATGTTAAGGCAATTCATGGCATTACAAGACGTGTATGCTAAGCAAGCATGATGTGTCTAAACCAAGTAAAAATAGTACTATATTATGGCATAATAAGCATAAAAAACAATTAAGGCATAGCCAACATACACTTAAACAAGGTGCTCACTATTGAGGCTTAAATGGCCATTATTGAAGACAACAAGGAGAGGTGGTGGCCCTCTCCTTCTTAGGCACTACTACAAAAACAGATAAAGATCACACTTTTTTGGTGTGATGTATGTTATTTAATCACATCTTTTAAGTTTTATTAAAGTGTGATCTTTAGGAGTGTGATTAAAAGGAGTCATTTTTAATCACACTTTTTAAGCGTGCTTAATAACATTTAGATCATACCTTTTAAATGTGATTAAAAACATTTAGATCACACCTTTTAAGTGTGATCTTTGGTAGTGTGATTAAAAAGGATCATATTTAATCACACATTTTAAGTGTGATTAATAACATTTAGATTACACATTTTAAGTGTGATTAATAACATTTAGATCACATCTTTTAAGTGTGATTAATAACTAATAAAATCTGTAATAAAAAAAGGGTCCGACATATTTGAAAAATAATCAATACTATTTTTGTATGCACATTTGAAGAATGTAATACACACTATATACTATATTTTGAATCATAACCACATATTGAATAGAATAATGTCATATATTTTATAAATGAAAATTAAATATTCAAAAGTATATACAAATGAATTAAATAAAAAAAATTAACTGTTCTTACATATATTAAAAAATGAAAAAACTTAAAAAACTAAGTTCTTTAATTCTTGGACCATATTTTGCATCTCTCCAAAAAAATTTTGACCTGAAAAATAAAAACACAAATTAATCCAGAAACTGCTGATGCATATGAATAAACTAAAAAGTTAATTCTGAAAACCAAAATAAGAACATTAATCATTTCTGCTTAATCTTAATCCTTTTGGAAGTAACTCCCTTGTTAACAATTAGATGCCATAGCAGCTCAGTGTCAATGACATTATAATTAGGAGGTCACTAATGAGCACAGTATTTAAAAATGATAAATCTCAATACAGCTTGTGTACGATCTTTTCGTGAATGTATATTATTATTACTATTGAACCATAATTCTAGGTACCCATAAATAAATAAATAAAAACTCAAGGAATTTACTCCATTTTTTTTTGGGGGGGTATATACATTGCAGTTACTATTACCAGCAGCAGCAGGTTTTGGAGAAGCAGTGGCTGCATTTATGAAAAGAATTCATCAGAGCTTCTAAATACACTCGCTTATTTTCTCTCTACACTCCCTATATGCATTGTATATCTTGTATGTTATAAAGAAAAATTTGTGAATATAGGTGTAGAGATAAACATGGTGGGTGTGTGGTGGGTTTAGAAACTCCCAATTGCATCATTTAAAACGAGGATTATTATCCAAATGAAATTGTTTCTTTTGAAGTTGCAACATTTTTTCCATTTTGTTTTCCATAGCATTTAAAACAAGTACTCTGTTTTATGTAAAAAATCATTATAGCATTGTATGAGAATATCACCAATTATATTTATTTTCGAAAATGGATCCATTCTGTTTTGCAATCATCCAAGTCTGATTGGAGCTTTCTTTGCAATGACACTATACTAATGATGCAATGACACTATACTAATGATGCATTTCTTTGCAAAAATCATTATAGCATTGTAGAAAAATCCATGGTATTTAATAATGCAATAAGAAGCTGAAATATAAAGCTGACCTGTGTGACCTACTGTTCTCTCTGAGTCATATATCTCAAAGTCATTTCCTCCCTGCTCAAACAAACACCCAAGCCCTTCATTTAGTCCTAAAAGAGTACCAAAAAAGTTAATGAAAAAAGGGCAAAATTTACTTTACCCCATATGGTTTACTCCATGTGTTGTCTACGCTCAGATGTTTAAAATAAGCATATAACCCTCTATGGTTCGAAGATTAAAGTGCACCGTCTATACACTTCAGTGAAAGGATCAAAATACCTCTGAAGTAGCTTTAACATTGAGCAAACTAAGGGCATTTTTTCCATCTTTTTGGGCATGAAATGTGTTTTAACAGAACCATTCTCATTCCAAGCACATGTTTTCACATAAGCTACTAATTTTGATGGAATTTTGATGGTGCACCAAATCATAGGAAGGTTATATGGTTATTTCTAAATATCAAGAGGGGTAAACCACAAGTAGAATTAACCATGGCGTGTTTTGCCTCCCCAAAAATAAATGATCTAATACAACACATCACCACAGGGAACCAAAGCTTCTGAACAAGCTCATGGCACATGGAAAATAAGTGCAAACACTAACAGCTGGCACAAGCGTATGAAAAATCATAAAGAAAATACATTATTATCCCAAAATACCTGGCCAAGCATTGTAGCCTCAGATTCAATTCCTCCAACTCCCCAGCCAGCAACTCCTAAGCCAACAATCATAGTTGTATGGGAAAATGCCAAGCCTACCAAATAGTATTATAATGTTAAAAAAATGAGAAAATTTGGACTATGATTTACAAGAGGCTAGAGGTAAATGTGGCTTTACTCCAGAAGCCCCACAAATAGTTAACAGCAGATGCCTTTGCATGGACTATTGAATTCAACTAAAGCACCATGAAGGCATGAACGTTAGATTATATCTATGACAAACTAAATTATTGCATATTCAGAAAAATCAAATATTTTAATGCCACATTTACTTTAAAAGTATATTTAAGAGTTGGCTGACAAGTCAAGTTAAAAATTAAAGAGATACCTATAGATATTTATGAAAATATAATTGAATGTATATAATTAAAAAAAAAAGAAAAAGGAAAAAACATCAGCATATGGAAATTTCTAAATGTAAGAATCAGCTTTAGACAAATCTTTCTTGTTCAAATAGATCACAATGACATACAATACAACTTAGTTCATCTGGACAAAGCAATAAATGCCAACAAGCTTGAGGTCAGGTGAACATATCTTTTCCGCCATTCAGCTATATTTAAAGCTAGATGCTCTAGGGAAAAATTAAGTTTGCATGGAACAAGCCCCCCACCTCTTTCTCTAAATTAAAGGAACAAAAATAGAAGAATATCAACCCTTTACAGAAACAGTTCTCATTCTTCTATACCATTATGAGCCATCATTTTCTCACTGCCATGCCACTGTTATAGTCTTTTTGTCTTTTTTTGACAAGGATATATTAAATTAAAAAGGCACCAAAGGTGCAGTGCCACCAATGTATCAAGAAATACAAACAAGAGGAAAACATCTACTTATCAAAAGTATTCAAAATTCGGTGCAGACTCCAAACATTAGTTCAAAGATGGCTCACTACCACCTGAAAACCAACTATACAATATGCTTGTAACAAATAAACACTTACTTCCCCAAGAGTCTCCCTTGAAAGATTACCAAAGCACCAGGTATCACGCCTCTTCCCCTGTAGCAAGGGAAAAAAATTCAATTTAAACACAATAGATATATAAATATAATAAATAAATATATATATGTGTGTATATATATATATATAGAGAGAGAGAGAGCCACACAAAAGACAAGAAGTTAGAGAAATAGCATGGAAGAGATGATATGAGGCAATCAAAACAAATGAAAGCCACTTCAGACCTATCTTCTAGAACAAGTCTTCTCTCGAAGTTATTCATTGACAATTCAGTTTATTGTATGCTTTACAATGTTTAGGAGGCAAAAGTATACTGGTTATTTCCAAAATTCCTTAAGATAAGGCTTAGTGGTGGTTCATGGAACCTATTCCAAGTTGTCATTAGATCACATCTACGCAAATTCAAACTAGATGGAATTGTAACAAAATTAATAAAGAAGACTCTTCAGGCCAACCACTATTTTGGTTTCATAATTTGATCTAATCATGTTGGATTTAGGTAACCTTTGACGTGTTTACGACCATAATAAATCTAAGAAAAGCGAAATCAAGAAGTAATTTAGACAATTGACATTAATAAAGCACCAAAGTTTGTGGTTATTTACCAGGAAGCAAGAGAGAGAGAGAAAGAGAGAGAGAGAGAGAGTCATTGTCATAGTACCTTCTTGGGCTGATCACGATTCTCATCCCTATTTGAGTACAACACCATTGAACTCAAGTTTTCAATCTTCTTAGCTTGCTCTTGCAACCTCTTTTCGCGTTCAACTTGGGCTTTCTTTTCCTCCTCCAGCGCCATAGTTATCCGCTCCCTCTCCAACTCAGTCTATAGAAAATAAATCAGCGAGAGAGAGAGTCATTGTCATAGTACCTTCTTGGGCTGATCACGATTCTCATCCCTATTTGAGTACAACACCATTGAACTCAAGTTTTCAATCTTCTTAGCTTGCTCTTGCAACCTCTTTTCGCGTTCAGCTTGGGCTTTCTTTTCCTCCTCCAGCGCCATAGCTATCCGATCCCTCTCCAATTCAGTCTATAGAAAATAAATCATAACCTTGAGGATACACAAATCATTATTTACAAGACAATCCACAAACTTAACGATATAAACCTGTAATAAAGTATTCCGCAGATTGAAAATCTCCTCTTCGGAATGTTCTGAATGGGAGCCCTTAATCACAAGAGACAAATTAACAGTTGATACTTTAAAAAGCAATTTGTATTTTAATCAAATCTCAATGGGTGTATTTGCAATTTACCCAAAATAGAATAAAACTTCAAGAAACCCAACAAGACTGCCCCTGAGTTTCAAGCTTTAATTGAGATTAAATGGAGCCTTGGAATCAAGTTTTGTTAGAATATTTTCCCTAAAATTGTTTTTCATCACAACACATCAAACCTTAGGAAGAAGTTGAAAATAGAAGGGAACTTGAAAATGATGAACTCAAAATTAGCAATTGACAAAGTCATGCAAACACCATCAACTTAAGGTATTTTGAACAATGTTCACTTTTTCAGGTAACTTCGACAAATATTTTCATGTAAGCATCGGTACACTGAATTTACTAAGTGTTACCTGAGCAAGCATGATATTGCATATGGTACACTGAATGTGTTACCTGAGCAAGTGTAATATTGCATATGATGGCAGTATTTGCATTTCCCCCTAGTGCAGGTTGCAAAATACGTGTGATTTTGCTGTCTTGATAAGGAATATGACCCCTGCAACAGATATTGATTGATGTACATCAACTATAAAATGAAAAAATACGTTACATAGCTTTCCAAAACAATTGTAATACAATAAAAAATTCAAAAAGTAGTCTTTAACTTTGTAATCTCCACCTGAGTTTGTTCATCTACCTAACAAGAAGTTCGAAGAAACATACAAAGCAAATTCAAAGTACCAACCTTTCTTTGTCAAGTTCGTATGAGACAAAACTCAATAAAACCCACTAAATATGTTGATTTTTAGAGCCGGCATTGATGGTTGGAAAGTATCATATGAAAGCTAGTGAGAGAGAATAATGAGAAATGCATGCAGGTAAGAAAGAGAGTCAAACGAAAATCTAGTGAACATAAATTATAGAAAGAGTTCACATATGAAATTGATGAGTGTTTGTTAGTGTTAAATTGGAAATTCTAGAAAAACAGAGAGATTGATGGATAATGGATTACAGATGAAATTGAGTTGGGCACTAAAGCATTTAACTCAAATTCCAATGCTAATACCTATATCTACATTCACATATACAAAAAATGAGTACTATGAGAATCGATTGAATTACCCGTAGCTCTATAGGGTTTGGTCGTCCTTCAAGATCTGCTATCATCAGCACTAAGGTGGTGGTTCTGCGGCAGAAGGAGGTGCTGCGCGACGGGCAACGGCGGATCGGTGATGGCAAATTCAACACTAATGGTGATTGTTGTTGTTGGGGATGGCAGTTTCAAAGCTAGAGTTTCTAATACAGGAGAGAGAAAGATAATAAAACCCTAGCTATTGCTAAGTGAGTGGTGAGAAGGGCAGAGGGGAAGACGGGGGGAGAGAGTGTTTGATTTGCTTGTGTTTCAACTGTGATACTATATACATATAAATAAATATAATCACATTTAATTAAAAAAATAAGGGTAAATTACACTAACTCCCTTAAGGTTTATGTTTATTACAATTCTTCTAATTTTTTGGAAATAACATCTCCCTCTTGAGATTTAAAGTTTCGTTACAGATTTCTTCCTCAGTCCTTTTAATTTTTTTAAATACCAATTTTACCCTCATTGGGTAAATTACATTGACACCCCTCACATTTTAGAAATTACAATCCTTTCGCTAAGGTTTAAAGTAACATTACCAATTGCCTCCTCGGTTAGTATTAATTGGAAAAAAAATTCATTAAAAAAAAATTGTTAATAAATTTTTAAAATTTTTGTTTGAAAACCAACGTAAACTCATTTTTTGAATTTATGTTTTCTCCTCAAATTTGCAAACTGAGACAACCATTTATAAACCAAAAAAATTATCAAATGATATGGTTACCAAATAAGTCTCAGATGGTAAAAATATCGTAAAATTAACAAATAATTAAATAAGTTACCAACGTAAGAAATGACTTATTAAAAGATTCTTAGGTTATGTATGGTTTGGTTTTTAGATTTTTTTTTTAAATTAAAAATTAATTTGGTTAAGAAATAAAAAATAAAAAAAATAATAACTTTTAATTTTAAAAGTTATTTTTTTTTTTATTTCTTAACCAAATTTATTTTTAATTTTTAAAAGAAATTTCTAAAAATCAAACCATCCATAGCCTAAGAATCTTTTGATAAGTCATTTCTTATGTTGGTAACTTATTTAATTATTTGTTAATTTTCGTTTTCAGTTTTCAATTTATATTTACAAAAATTTAAAAAACTGTCATAAAAACTAGTTTGATAATCTTTTTGGTTTATAAATAATTGTCTTAGTTTGTAAATTTGAGGAAAAACTGTAAATTCAAAAAATGAGTTTACGTTGGTTTTTAAACAAAAATTTAAAAATTTTACAAAGAAATTTTTTTTTCAATTAATTTTTTCCAATGAATTTTTTTCCAACTAATACTAGCCGAGGGGGCAATTGGTAATATTACTTTAAATCTTAGGGAGAGGATTGTAATTTCTAAAATGTGAGGGGTGTCAATGTAATTTATCCAATGAGGGTAAAATTGGTATTTGAAAAAATTAAAAGGGCTGATGGGAGAATCTGTAATGAAACATTAAACCTCAGGGGGGAGATGTAATTTTCAAAGGTAAGGGAGGAACTGTAATAAACATAAATCTCAGGAGGTGTCAGTGTAATTTACCCAAAAAATAAATATAATCACATTTAATTAAAAAAATATATATATAATCACACTTAGAAAGTGTGATTAAAAAACATATATATAATAACATTTAATTAAAAAGTGACATAAAAAATAAATATTATCACACTTAATGATTAAAATATTAATTTAATTTTTTTTTATCACATTTCTAATAAAAGTGAGATATTTTCATTTATCAAAATGTGATCTTTAAATGTTTTTGTAATAGTGAGTTTTTTATTTTATTCGTTTTCAATTTTCAATTTATATTTATAAAAATTTAAAAAACTGTCATAAAAACTTGTTTGATAATTTTTTTGGTTTATAAATGGTGGTCTCAGTTTGTAAATTTAAGGAAAAAATATAAATTCAAAAAATGAGTTTATGTTGGTTTTTAAACAAAAATTTAAAAATTTTACAAAGAAATTTTTTTTTTCAATTAATTTTTTCCAATGAATTTTTTTCCAACTAATACTAACCGAGGGGGCAATTGGTAATATTACTTTAAATCTTAGGGAGAGGATTGCAATTTCTAAAATGTGAGGGGTGTCAATGTAATTTACCTAATGAGGGTAAAATTGGTATTTGAAAAAATTAAAAGGGCTGATGGGAGAATCTGTAATGAAACATTAAACCTCAGGGGGGAGATGTAATTTTCAAAGGTAAGGGAGGAACTGTAATAAACATAAAACTCAGGGGGTGTCAGTGTAATTTACCCAAAAAATAAATATAATCACATTTAATTAAAAAATATATATATATAATCACACTTAGAAAGTGTGATTAAAAAACATATATATAATAACATTTAATTAAAAAGTGACATAAAAAATAAATATTATCACACTTAATGATTAAAATATTAATTTAATTTTTTTATCACATTTTTAATAAAAGTGAGATACTTTCATTTATCAAAGTGTGATCTTTAAATGTTTTTTGTAATAGTGAGTTTTTTTTTTTTTTTTAATTTGAAGAGAAGTCTGAAAGTTTAGGGATGAGCGAGACAAAGGAAGGGGGTCGGAGAGGGAGCGAAGGTAATTATGGATTAAGTTTTTGCAACGAGTTTAAGAACCATCATTAATGAGCAAAATAAAATCTTTTTGCCACGGATTAACAAAAGGCGTTGCAAAAAAAAGAAAAAAAAGATAGGTAATGTATCATTGCGTATAATATTACTTTTTGTCACGGCCTTAGATTTTCGGTCTCTAATAATGGTATTTAGTTGATGTCTTTTTTGCGATAGTCAAATGCCGTCGCAAAAAAATTAATTTCGCGACGATTTTTTTGCCATCACAAAATCATGCTTTTTGCGACGATTTTCAAACCGTTGCAAAAAGTTCCGTGTCTAAAGCCTTCTTTTCTAGTAGTGAGTCGTCTCTATCATTCATGGGTAGAATAGAGGCGCGGATTTGGAAATTGTATATTTTATATAAAAATCAAATTGAAATATTTTATACAATCACACCTATTTAGGGAGTGTGATTAAAAAGTAGTAATATATATATAATCACACTTTAATTAAAATGTGTGATTAAAAAATATATATATAATCACACTTATTTAAAAAGTGTGATTAAAAAGTAGTAATATATCTATAATCACACTTTAATTAAAATGTGTGATTAAAAAATATATAAATAATCACACTTTAATTAAAATGTGTGATTAAAAAATATATAAATAATCACACTTTAATTAAAATGTGTGATTAAAAAAAA